TCTCTTCCAAAGATGAAAGCTTTACGTACTGTTTATCTGATATAAAATGCTATATCTCCTTTAGTGATTTTAGTTGAGAGAGAATGTGCTAGGCAGCTAAGATATGTTTGCACTGCTGTTTGTGTGAATGTTAGCGTTGAGCTCTTTGAAGGGGGCCATAATGTCATTGGCTTTTTCGGGAGCTGCTTTTATTGGAAGGACAAAGCTGTAACTGGTTGGTTTTAATATTGGAAGAATGAAAGAGTTAAAGTTGCAGCAGGAGGACAAAAGTAAAGAGTGGACATGGAGTCACTTTCAGACATCGACTGACTAAACAAATTCATACCTTGTAATTAAAAAAAAGTTGGCCTTGAGGGAAAGAAGGCAGAGATGAAGCTTGATATTCATGCAGCGCTCATATTGATTGTTACAGATGGAATGGAATGTGGTTGGAAATGAGATAATGTTTCACGGTGTGAGAGAGGAGCGCGTGGCGGCAGGTGTATGTGTAATCCATTACGGCCCAAACGACATCATCAATCAGCGACAGCCCTGGAGGAAGTGACTTCATTAAGGAGAGCAGGAAGGAGGAAGGTGAGGTCACACAGTTAAAATCTCCAACACAAACAGTGAGGAGGCTGAGGAGACCCCCCCCCCACACACGCAGGAGACGACACAACACATTTATCAAGCTAATGAGGCCAGCAGTGGCTCGCAGCCTTCCCTCACAGCACGCCACGCTAGATACACACTGTTTCTAACACTGCGCTGAGTAATCGATTCAGTAATATTAATACAATATTGATACTTAATCTGTTTTTGCAGAAGTGGCTTATAAGATAAAGCTTGTGGATAAAGGTCCTTTTCCGCCACTCTGTTATGCCTCGGTCAAACGTGTGAACTTTTATGTGCAATCTTATATTGCTACCCGGGGGCGCATCTTATGCAGGGGTGATATAGTTCAGACTGAAAGCTGCAGATGTGATGAAATGATCTGAATGTCTTACTATGCGGCAGGCCTGGCTTTAGGGGGTCATTTAGTGGGGCCATGCCACTCGTCATGGCCCACTAAATACACTATTTTGTACACACTTCAGTAGTAGCAAGCAGCAAAAACAACCAAATTGAAACTAGTCTTGGTGTGCGCATGCCCGGTATAAGAGGCTATGCTGGTATAAAAAAATAATAATTCTTCAGGGCTGTTTCTTTAATGATGTACCAAAAACCTGCATATTGTAGTTCCATAACTGTCAGTTCTGACATGCTTAAAGTGAATAAGCGGTGATAAAGAGGGTGTGTGCTGGCAATGTCCTTTTTTTTCTAAGCAAACCAGGAAAAAAACATTGTTACACTACAATGTCAGGGCCAATAAAATGACTTATATGTTTCATTTTTAAAACTGAAAAGTTTTACTGAGGTTAGGTTTAGGGTTAGGCTTTGAAAATTACTTTATTACATATATATCACTGTTGTCGACAGAAAACCTTGTATCTCCAAAATAGTAACTTTATAGAAGAAGGAAAAAAACAAATTTATTTTTAATGTAAGTCACTGGAACCAGACTTTTTTCCAATGGAAAAAATTCCATTTTTCTAATGGAAAGGGTGACAGGGGTTTTCAAATTAGGTCAAAAACTGAAAAACAACAAAAATGGAGATGCAAGGTTTTCTTCCGACAGTAGCGTTATACACTATATAGACAAAAGCATTGGGGCAGCTACATATTACACCTACAGGAGCTTTTATGATGTCCAATTCTAAATCCATAAGCATTAATATGGAGTTGGTCCTCCTTTGCAGCTGTAACAGTTTCCACTCTTCTGGGAAGCTTTCTACAAGATTTTGGAGAGTGTCTGTGGGAATTTGTGCCCATTCATCCAGAAGACCATTTGTGAGGTCAGACACTGATGTTGGACAAGAGGGCCTGGCTCACAATATCCCTTCAAATTCATCCCAAAGGTGTTTGATGGGGTTGAGGTCAGGGCTCTGTACGGGCCAGTCAAGTTCTTCCACACCAAACTCACCCAGCCATGGCTTTATGGACCTTGCTTTGTGCACTGGGGCTCAGTCATGCTGGAACAGAAAAGGGTCTTCCCCAAACTGTTTCCACAAAGTTGGAAGCATACAATTGTCCAAAATGTCTTCTTGTGATGAAACATTAAGATTTCCCTTCACTGGAACTAAGGGTTCTAGGCCAACTCCTGAAAACAACCCCATAGCATTACCCCTCCTCCACCAAGCTTTACAGTTGGCACAGTGCAGTCAGGCATGTTCTCCTGGCATTCGCCAAACCCAGACTTGTCCGTCAGACTGCCAGATAGAGAAGCGTGATTCGTCACTTCACAGAATACATTTCCATAGTCCAGTAGCGGCGTCCTTTACACTACTCCATCAGACGCTTGGCATTGTGCTTAGTGATGTTAGGCTTGCATGCAGCTGTTTGGCCATAGAAACCATGCCTTGAAGCTCCAGGTGCACAGTTTTGTGCTGATGTTAAAGCCAAAGGAGGTCTGGAACTCCACAGTTATTGAGTCAACAGTGTTGGTGACTTTTATGCACTATGCGTCTCAGCACTCAGGGACCCGCTCGGTAATTTATGTGATCTGTCACTTACTGTGATTCCTAAACGCTTCCACCTTTTAATAATACCACTCACACTTGATCTTGGAATATCTAGGAGGGAAGAAGATTTTGCGAACTGACGTGTTCCAACGGTGGCAACCTATTACATCACCACGCTCGAATTCAATGAGCTCTTTAGAACGACCCATTCTTTCACAAATGTTTGTGAAGGCAGGCTGCATGGCTCGGTGCTTGATTTTATACACCTGTGGCAATATGACTGAATAAAGCACCTCAACTCAGTGATAAAGAGGTGTTTCCCAATACTTTTGTCCATATAGTGTGTGTATCTATATATACCCATACGCATACCTGTTGTTTCTGTTTGCTCCTCTTGGTGTCCTCTCTCTCCTGCTCCTCTCTCTGTCTCTCCTTCTCCTCCTCCTCCCACCGTGCTGCTATAGCTGCCTCCAGATGAGCAATTTCCTCCTGCTGCTCACGCCACTGCTGCACCTACACACACACAGAGGCACAAAAAAGAACACGAACACACACATAAACATGCCTTAAAATCCACATCTCTTTTGACACACAGTAAATCACATACACAAACACACACAGAGTGAATGACAGGTGGGTTTAGCAGATCTCCCGGAGGTGCGAGGTGCACTGAAGTGTTGTGATTCAAACTTGCAAATTGATCTACTGATCCATTACCAAAGCTTTGTAAATCCCCCTGCCACACACACACATTAACACATTTGTAGCAGAAACATCCTCAGGCCAGGGGGTCTGTGTGGGCCGGGGGGGAATCAACACCTCCTGTTCTGTCTAGTGGATTCTGTTTAACAGGACACAAGTGAAAGCCAGTGGCAACATTCACACATGCGTCCATTCAGTTCACATTATGCACAAGCCATTTCCACTAACTGCATCCCTCCCTTTACATGCTGTACAGGATGGGGCAGACAATGCAAGAGATGGGCAAAACACTTTGAAAAGGTTGTGATGGCTGATTACTGAATACACTGTCCTGAATGTTTTCAGTAATGTAATATTCCATGACATGTTTCCTTCACGTAATTCCTCTGTTAATACGTTTAATGAAAAATTTGCTTATTATTTAAATGAAGCTCTAAAATTCTCAACATTTTTATCTTTCTTATCGCCAGCTTCAGTTCACTGCTGCTCCCACAGTCCCTAGGCAGGAGTTCAGTACAATACAGATGCTAAGCTTGTAGTCGCAAACATCCACCACAGAGGAGATCATTAACAAAAGAGCTCAGTAACACTGAGATTAGTCACTGATCATCACATTGATTTATCAGTCTACTCAGGCTTTAGCAGAGCTCAGTAACACTGAGATTATTAACTGATCAGAACATGTAATTTATCAGTCTACTCAGGCTTTAGCAGAGCTCAGTAACACTGAGATTAATTACTGATCATCACATTGATTTATCAGTCTAGTTGGACTGAGTACAGATATTTAACAGCTATATTCTGAATACATAGACCTAATACTTGTATTCCGTTACATCTGAACCCCAGACACTGTGTATTGCCCGGTGACCCTGACCACAATATTTCACATTTTAGCTGTTAAAACCACAGAGCCTGTGGCCTGAATGGCCACTTGCCTTGGTGATTTCTTTTTGCATTCTTTATCCCTTTCAACAAACCTATTTGGTCAGACACTAATCAGACAAATTAGATTTTGTCACAGTTTATCAACTATAACATCATGTCTTAGACGCTGTTCCATTGCCTGATGTTTGCTAATATCGCTCTGTGAAATAAGGCTTAAAATAAAGTGGTAAAAGCTGGCAAAAAGTCTTGTTTAGGCTAGATCCAGCTCTGTAATCACACTGCTGTAAAAATGAAAGACATAGAAAATCATTTTTTCAGAAAGAAAATCCTGTGTAGGCCTAGAATTACCAGCTTGATTAACAACTTGATTAGCACATTAGAATAATTAGCATGTGTTAACCTGTGATTGCTACTTCGTAAGAACAAAGGCGTACTGTTGGCATCCTACCTGCTGTTTACCTCATATTCATGGGCTTTTAGCTAGTCAGGTAAAGACTGTGGCTATTTGGATCTGCTTTGCAAGCTCTATTAAAGCAAAGGCCAGACCAGACTGAGAATTAAAGCATAGCATTATGCCTTAGATATGCTCTCTGCTAATGAGCACCCTTAGTAGAGAAAATCCCAGCTGCCCTCAACCAATAAGCATTTAAATGAACACTAATTGTGCACTTAAAATGACTGTGGTAATCTCTGTCTATAAGTGTATTTATGTATCAGCACTGACTTTTGCTGCAGGCAGTGCCTTAACTTGATGGTGTCTTTAGTCTTTGGCCTATTTGCATTAGCTTAAGGTTAGTTTCTAACAAAGAAAGAAGTCACTCTGGATAAGAGTATCAGCAAAATGCTGTAAATGTAATGTGACCTAATATAACCAGGAGCCTTGAATCTCAATAAAACATATTGTTCAGGGTCAAACATGTATCTGATATAACTATTTCATTTGTTCTAATCCAGCAATGAGCGACCATAAAACAGTTGCTGGAGGTGCGTATAAGATGTAAAGTACTATTCAAGTTGGGTTGGTTTTATCAGGGGATGTAGTGTAATTTGTAATAACCCTGGTCCTGGACTACCCCGTGTACTGCACATTTTTAGGTTTACTGTATATTCAGTACAGCAAATGGCTCTTTTATTTGAGCTGAGCTCTGTACTAAAGCATGTCTGCCATAGTGCTTCCTCTAACACACCATCAACTCAAGAAGGGCTTGTTAATTAGCTAATAAGCTAAATCAGGTGTGTTGAGAGCACTAAAATGCATGGCAGGGGGTACTCCAGGACCAGGGTTGGGACCCACTGACCTACATTGTGAGAGTACTTACACTGCATCTGCACAGGAAATGCCAAATTTCCTAACACTTAGCGAGCTGTAGACATAGTAACCTAACCAAAGGTCTGTATTTAAATTATTATGTAACATGACAGAGTTTACAAAGCAACAACAGATGCTGCCTTTGAAAGATTTATCTTTATGTAAGTGCGGTGGAATTAGAGACTGGTGTTACACTGTTAGGTACACTGTAAAAAAGAGCATTTTCACCGCCAAAGTACTGTGAAATTGAATGGTCAGTGACCATTTTTGAAAAAAAGGTTAAATGCACATAAATAAACCACACATATACTGTATTTTAGCTCTGCTGTTAATTTACATAAATACAATGCAAATTCACAAAAACAAATGATCACCTTTGTGATATCATCATCAATGATATCACCAGTCATTTGCATTTAGTTTCATGTGTCTTACTGTTACTATTATACAAAAATACTTTATGTCAGATTAACTACCTGAACTGAATTACAGTAAAATTACAGTGAATTACAGTAAAAAGCTGTATTTTTAAAAAGGTTAAATGATTATACTTTTACAGAGCTTTGTCATCCTTGAGAAAACATGTTGCTATTAATTAACAAGTTTTGTCTGACACCCCTGCTGCCGAACTTTTTATAGATTTCGTGATAAGCACAGTGCTATCATAGATTGATCATCCAGATATTGCTTTTGGTGCAATATAATTTTTAGAATGACTTTCAAAAATAGACCTCTGCTGTTTCTGTGTAAACACCATCATATTACAAAATGGTTTAAAGCCACCTCACAACACAAGCATGCTACTACAGCTAGCAAAATGTCAAGAAAGTTGGCATTTCCTGTGCAGGTGCAGTGTAAGTACTCTAATTATGTGGGGAATCACACTCAAAAAATCAGAAAAGCCATTGGAAAAACAGCAATACAAATGTAATTACCCTCACTTTAAAACACGTATAAACACATAAGAGAATTACACATCCAGACACACTTTTATAATTACATGATATATGTAATTACCTGAGTAAAGACTTAAGTTAATACATATGTGTGTTTACATAAACCATACTAAAGTAATTCATCTGTAACAGTGAATGCATCAGCAGTAGCTACACTGTTGCTGCATGTATTGTAAGCGTGTAACTACACAGTTATATACGACAATTAACATAAGACCACCGACAAGGATAACTCTTCTGAGGGTTATGACACAACAGGTGACTTCTGTTTCATTTGTTCTAATCCAACAATGAACGATCCTGAAACAATCAACGGTCTCTATATATTCACTACAGCAAATGGCTCTTTCATTGGAGCTGAACTCTGCACTAAAGCGTGTCTGCCACAGTGCTTGGTGCGCCAGCCATGGCTAGACATTAGAGGCGTGTGCCAGCTTGTGTGACTGTGGCAGAGCGCTTCTCCTTAACGGCGGAGTGAAAGAACAGACGCAGCAATCTGTTCAGTGCCTCTGATGAGCGACTCGGCCGCTTCGCACTTCCACTGTGCAAAATCTCAATGTGTTCTCAGCAACAGCTTGCCATCAAACACACATTTTTCGAAAGCGTTGGGGAATCTGCCACGGTCTACGGACCGGCACGCTGACAGCCGCTCCGAGAGACGGGGAAAACTTCCAGAACCAATTTCAGCTCCGTCTGAAGAAGAAGAAAAAAATCTAACACCAGGCACAGCAGCGCTAAATAAAACCTGCATCAGCTAGAAATCTTAACAAAAAGCGATTCCTTAGATCAATACTCATTTTTTCTGCAACAATCCCTCAATTTGTTTTTATATATTTTTTTTGTTGATTTATTTTGGATGCAGTTTTTTGTTATGTAACAGTTTTTTGTTATGAAGCTGAGAGCGAGAAAAACTTACATCTACAGAGAGAGAGAGAGAGAGAGAGAGAGAGGAGAGGGAGAGAGAGGAAGGGGTAACTGGTCCCATAATTGCACCATCAATCACGCTCCTCCCTGGCCCAGATAAGACAGCATAGTGCCAGGGGATGGGAACCAGAATAAGGTAACACACACACACACACACGCACACACGCTCACACACATACAAAACTCCACCTCTCTCTCCATCTTTCTCTACATTAAAAATAATCAAAAAGGCTCCACATGTTAAACTCCTATTAGAATTCTGCTTATTATGATCAAGTGTTCCTGAATTCCCATTCATTTGCCCAGAGCAATATCAGTCCACTAAAATCCACTGCTGGACACTTATTTCAGCTTCAAACTTCATTATTTATAGGGGTGGGCAATATGGAAAAAAAATCATCAACATCACAATATGTAAATTTTCATGATACACAGTATGCATCACAATATTTAGTTCTGTGAAGATGGACGAGTTTGAACAGACAGAAATAGAACCAGTTATGACACATTTAAGAACTGCTTTCAAAAACAATGAACACAGTTTCTCAGTGTCTCACAGATTGCACAGCACTAAATTACAGTACTAATTATGCTCTCTTTGTAATGAAACATTCAGATTTTCAGAGTTCTGTAAGGGGGAATTCCACCAAAATGTCTGCATAATTTAGCTGATGAGCTACAAATAAAGTCAGAGGGATTCAGTGTGAAATCTTTCATGAGAAACGCACCAATTT